AGTTGTTTGTGCCATTAAACTTCTCCACTTCTATCTTCATAGAGTGGATATTCAAACTCTGAATGGTCTTCGCGCCAGAAGCACCACCCTCGACACCCGAAGCACCTTCTTTCCCCGACATCTTACGCACCAACGAACAAAGAATAGATCCAAAACTAAAAGATAGAGTCTTTACCAAAAGATCCCACCTTTATCACCAACGAAGTCCTAAACGGGCCTCCAAATTGATCTACTCCTTCAACCAAACCCTAGATCTGGAATCTGGGCTCTGATACCACTTGTTGTGCGCAGCGAAAATTTCGGCAGAGTTTCTGGTGCACAATAAGAGAGAAAGATCGATAAGAATTCTTGTTTCTCAAAGGGAACAAGAATCTGAAAGCCTAATATCTCATCAAAGTGGGATATTAGCTCTTCCTCTCGTCAGCTCTAGGACTGCGCGTCGAGGGATCCTAAAAACTATTACAATGGCCACAAACTCAAACAATCAATTTTTACGTGGTTCGGCAAACTGCCTACGTCCACGGGGCAAGGAGGGGGAGATCTACTATTAGAGGGGAGAGAATACAACTAGGGTTTACAATTACTCTCAAACTAAACCCTCACACAAACTCTCAGATCCCTCACACAAACTCTCTCAAAAGGGCAAAAAGATTACACAGAAAACTCCTCTCAAAGTCAGCTCTACACGCTAACCAAGGAAGAAAAAGCTAACCGCACACAAAAACTTGCCGCACAAATTTTCTCCTTTGCCTTAGCTCTGCCGTTTTCCCCCTCAGCCTCCACCCGAAACCCTAGGAAATTCTCTCTTTTATAGGATGATGTGATCGGGTGGGCCTGGCCTAAACTTCTTCACGCGTGAACTTTTCACGCGGCTTTCACGAGTACGTGGGTTGGCCCCACCACGGCAAATCTCTGCACGTGTTTATCCAACAGTAGTTTCATAATTCAATTTTTTTTGAACTATGAAACTTTAACTCCCGTGAAGTTTAGCAGCTTTACTAAACTTCACGGGAGTTCAACTCCCATGAAGTTTCGGAAAAAATTTTCAAAAACCGACCTGGTTTCAGCGCCAATGCTGAAACTAGGTCGGTTTTTGAAAATAAGTTCAAAACATGTCTTTTTTGGGATTAAATGTGGAAATAGATTGGTTTTGAAAATTCGTCCTTTATCCATGTGTATGTATAGGCCGAGGATCCAATGATATGTTTTAACATACCAAACTTGGCTTTGGAAGGAATCACACTAGGAGTGGCCAAGAAAGAGCTGCAGTTGAGCTCTCAATCTTGGCAGATAATCAAACGACCAGACGTTATTCTCCGCTGGACCGAACTCGAACCCGACCAAACCGACGTACGTGCTAATTCAATAGGGTTGCGTAACAAATTTGAGAATTTGGATCGGGTCAGGCTTGGCCATAGTCCAACCTAGGCAAACAGAAGCCACCTGAATTTGGCTATTCGCAGCATATATATGTAACTATGTATATAACTGGATTTTGAGTAGTTCTTGATGTGTTTTTCTCTATTTTAATTTAGTTAGTTATGCAAATAGACTATTTTCACTTTGTTCCTAATAATTATTGTTTTTTTTTGAGAGAAATGATGGGATACCATAAAAATATCCCAGCCAGCTAAATAACAAAAGAGGTTGTTACATAATAGGTACATATCCCCAACTTAGAATATGTACCTTTGTTCAAGACCAACTACATACCAAGGATCCTAATAATTATTGTTAAGAATATATACTAAATATCGTAGGCTTAAATCTGCTCCCCTCTGCACCCTCCGTGGGGCCAATTACAGCCTACAACGAGCAAACATTTTTTTTTAAATTACAGCCTACAACCAAATTAATATGAACATCTATAATAAACCTTTTTTTTTTTTTTTTTGCTACACAACGTAAACTTCCCTAACAATTAGATTCTGAAATATTCCCAAGTTATTCATGTTACACTTGCGACTATGTCTCCAATGAAAGAACATTCCCAAATCTGTTACACTTAATTTAAACGTGATACGGCAGTTGTCAAAAGCTTCAGTCTGGGCCAAACAAATATATTATCAGGATCCGGCCTTTATAGCCCTTTAACGCACAGCAGGACTCTTGGGCGTAGCATTGCTGGGCCCAGTTCATAGCTAGACTGGGCCATTTATAAGCGTATGAGAAATAGCGCCAGCCTTTATAACTTATAGCCAACTACTAAGTACTTGGGCCGACGCCTGGATTCTTTCTAGGAAAAAATAGGCCGCATCTAGAGCACTGCTGGGGCCCATTAGTTGCGTATAGCAAACGCGAACTATTTTCTGTGATCTTCGCAGAGACATCCACGTGGCGTCTACATATCCCCCATTCTCGATGGTTCTAACTTCTACATTCCAAATCCAGAACCTTCTTCGTCGTCTCCTCTAAAAATTTTCTCGTCTCTCTCTCTCTCTCTCTCCATTCAGAAGCCCTAACCCTAATCGAAACCCTAATTCCGATGTCTACGGCGACTCCGTACTTCCCCGTACCCTTTCATCTCCAGGCGACGAATGCGGCGACTCAGCCGTACGCTCCGGCGGCGTATCCTGCGGCGTATTCCGCGGTGGCGCCTG